ATCACCATGAACTAAATTAAAATCTAAATGGGTCAAAGATCTGAATATTAAAACAGAAACACTAAATCTATTGGAAGACAAAATAGGTAGAAACCTTGGAGACATAGGAGTAGGTAAAGAATTCATGAACAGGACTCAAACCGCACGGGAAATACTTCCCAGAATCAATAACTGGGACCACTTCTTATTAAAAAGTTTCTGCATGTCAAAAGAAATCTCCAGCATAGTGAAAAGAAAACCCACAAACTGGGAAAAGATTTTAGTGAACTCTCTCTCAGACAAGGGCCTCTTGTCTAAAACATATAAAGAATTAAAGAAACTCAGACCTCCGAAATTCAAAGATCCAATCCAAAAATGGGCATCTGAGATGAATATGCAATTCTCAGATGAAGAAATGCAAATGGCAAATAAATACATGAAAAAATGCTCATCATCATTGGTCATTAGAGAAATGCAAATTAAAACCACACTGAGATACCATCTCACTCCTGAAAGAATGGCCAGGATCAAGAAAACCGACAACAAATGCTGGAGAGGCTGTGGGGAAAAAGGAACTCTCCTGCACTGCTGGTGGAAGTGTAGACTGGTACAGCCTTTGTGGAGATCTGTCTGGAGATTTCTCAAAAAGTTGGGACTGGAAATCCCATTTATTCCAGCTATTCCACTTCTAGGCATATTCCCAGAAGAACTGAAAGCATCATACCACAGTGATATATGTGCACCTATGTTTATAGCAGCACAATTTGTAATCGCCAGATCTTGGAAACAACCCAAGTGCCCATCAACTGAGGAATGGATAAAAAAGTTGTGGTATTTCTATACAATGGAGTATTATTCAGCTATAAAGAAGGATCACATTGAGATATTTATCAATAAATGGGCGCAGCTTGAGACCATACTCATTAGTGAAATAAATCAATCTCGCATGTGTGAATACCGAATAGTTTCCCTAATGTAAGTAATGATTCAAATATATAAAAATATGTGGTAATCATGATTCCCCATTAGGTGGCCTTGAAGCCTTATAAAGTTTTCACTCATTAATTAGAAAGGCTTTATTCTGGGCTTCTTGATATGAAAATATTTGAAGCTAGAGTATATGAAGTTTTATCCAAATATTTCAAGGAAAAAGACACTATGGTAACTACTATTAAGTCAGGTTATAAGGTGGTGAAGTACTAGGTTGTTGAAACAGTCATGCTGTGACCTCTATTGTTATATTGTTATGTCCTGTTTTATCTCAATCTCCCCTTATTGTTTCAAAAAAATTATTTAGTCATTTCTTATGTTTGTCTTAATTAAAGAAAAAATTCAAAAAAAATTAGGATATATAAATAGTAACTCTTTTCGATTTCCTATTAACTTGTTTTGAAGTCCTGTAGTACTCCCACGATCTTGTTTTGACTGATTAGACTCTGTTCCATTCTATATGATAATATCAAGTTTGAAGACATAGGCAACTACTTTGAAGACAATAAGATTCACTAAGATACTCATTCTGGTTTGACTATTGTCTTCTTTGGAAGTCCTGTAATGTTTACAATGCCTAAGTTTTATTGGTCTTGTTCTCTACTGTTTTGTTCAACTTTATAATATCTGATAAGATAGACAATTCTTTTTAAGGAAACAAGGGACAACGTTGATAACCATTGTTGATAAACTTGTACTCTGTTCTACACCATGTACTATGTCTATCCTTGGTATTGACTGACAGCTTTGTTTTGCCATATTTGACTGTATTCTTCCCCCCCCCAAAGAAAGTAATAAGCACTAAGGAGTAATAAAATCCAAGATGTGTAAATTTTGTTGTAAAAAAGAGAGGGAAAAAAAAAAGAAAAAGAGCTCTAACGGATATAACAGCAAGTGTGTTTGGGGGTGTTAAATAGCTGACTTTATCAATGTTTTTGGAACATTGAACACAGCTGTTTGCAGTCTCCCTGTTTGAATGTCCACCTTGTGTTCTTTGATACTGTGATTTGAGGAACTATTTTCAAGAAGATAGTGTGTAATCTACTAGCAGGTGATTTCTTACTGTTATGTTTTTTTGTTTTGTTTTGTTTTGTTTTGTTTTGTTTTGTTTTGTAGTTCTGTATTGCGTGTACCCTTACGCCGCTTTGGTTTGTTTTGTGTTTTTCTCTTTTTCCTCTTAAATAAAAAAAAAAACTATAATAAGCCAGTGTTGTGGACAAATCTATTGAAAATAACAAGAGAAAACATAGTAGCTACGGAAGATCATTTATATTATAGTTTTATATGTCTTATCCATTGCATGTTTTTCTAGGAAATTGTTTCACTGTCTTGTTATGACTTGGTTTTCCCTATAATACAAAGAGGATAGGAACAAATACTCTGAGGAAGAGACCTGAAAAACCCGAGGCTTATTTTGTAGCATTATAATATAAATTCTAGCAATCTATTGTTTGCTGAGTAGAATGACATTGGACTGGTTTCTTCAGCTCAACTTCAGCATATGCAGAGATGGGGACGGCTATCACAGAGAGAATGAGAGATGCAATGGTAGTTGCTATTGTCTTCCCTAATTTGGAACTTGAGGACCTAAAAAGACTTCATCATCCTGTAATGATTTGATTAGTTCTATAATATGCAATAAGTATATAAAGTGGGTGAAGTTAGGGACAACTATTTGTAAGAAGCTAGAGACAGTTAGATAAGGAAGATCTCCAGTGGACTTGCTTTGAAATCTGTATTTCTTTAAATTGTCTTTTATTTTTTTTTTAATGTTCTGTTCTGATTTGATATGGTTAACCTTACCCTCTTTGAGATGTAAAACAAATAGGTGGGACTGATAATCATATTACGGAGCTTTTGTTTGATCATAGAGCAGAATGGTTTGTAGGGTCACTTTTTGGAATGTCATTCTAAATACTTTAATTCTATAACATGAACAGCCATTTCCAAGATGACAATTTGTAACTTATCAACCGGCAATTTCTTACCTTTTGTTTGTCTGTAATTTAGTATTATTTCTACCCTTTTTTTTTATCTCCATGTATTTTTTTTCATTTCCTTTTCTTTAAATAAAAAAAAAAGAAAAACAAATGACGCAAAATAGCCAAAGCAATATTGAGCAAAAAGAGCAAAGTTGAAGGCATTATAATACCCAACCAAAACCACATTACAAATTATAGTAGCAAAAACAGCATGGTACTAACATAAAGACAAACACATAAACAAATAGAAGAGAAAACTCATCAGCAAGTCCACATATCTATAATCAACTCATCTTGGACAAGGTATCAAAAACACACATTGAAGAAAGGACACCAGCAGTTTGTAGAAAACAGCATAACCATAAGAATGAAATTAGACCCATGTGTCTCTCATCAGTTACAGAAACTGAGTCAAAATAAACCAGACCTAAGTGTATCAAGTATAATCAAAATATGGTGAACGTTTCAATTTTTTTAAATTTATTATAATAAAAGACACATACCACTAATCCTTTCTCAAAATAATCCCCCTCACTTCAAACACATTTATGCCATAATTCTTCACATTTTCTGAAACAGTTCTGGAAGTCCTCTTTTGTGTCTTTATGAGTTGTGATTAAAAAGGAAGGGAGGGAAAGAGGGAGGAAAGGAAGGAGAACAAAAGGAGGAAGGAAGAAAGAAAGGAAGGAAGGGAGGGAGGAAGATGGGGCCAGCCTTTAAGTAGAAGGCAGGAAAAGGACAGACACAGCGCTGAGAAGGTTTCTACCACTGGTTCCAACACAACACATCTAGTGACACCAAGACAAAAAGTGGAGGAGTGCTCAAGTCCCTCATGCTTCAAGTATGAAAGAAAAACAATCAAAATGTCTCCTAAAGGAAAAGGGTTAAAAACCAGTGAGAAAATGCCTAAAGATAAAAGGAAAGATAGCAGTGAAGTCAGGAAGGAAAACTTGCAGTCCATGTTGCCAGGCTGGCCCCACATGAGCTAGATCTCTCTGCATTAATAACAGAAGCATAATCAGAAAGAACTCCACAGTCAGACAAGATAATGCCAAGTCTGCATCACTTGTTGCCTTGCAGAAAGCGCCCACATTTATCTGGCATGATGGAAATGATGGAATTCCAAACATTAGTGGCTGACCCTGCTAACCACAAAGATGGAGAACAGTTTCACTCAGTCCAAACAAAAGACAGAAAAGAATTTATTAATACTATCCAAAAGAAAAGAGAAGCTACAGGAAAAGTCTTGTGGACTGAAGTGAAAATTTGTAAGAATCAAAAACTGGAACACATGCTCAATGCCCACAGAGGAATGCAGAGCTGCCATCAGGCAATGACTGAATGCTTTAAGGAGCAATACGAGACTCGCCCCCACACCCTGGTCACCAAAAAGCACTAACTGCCTATGAGAGTGATCCACTTGTCTCTCCTGGAGGAAGACAGACACCAGTGCTTAGATGTCTGAATTGACAATCATTTACCATCTACTGGGAGAACTCAGCATTGGCAATTCAGAGGAAAATGTGCAGGTGTCAGATTTATTGAGGGAATTTAAGGAGCTTCCCACAAAGGTGAATAAAGTGGTGGCCTTAATAGACGTGTGGAGAAAGGCTCAAAGCCTGGGACCTTCACTTAAGATACTGCTTTAGCAGCATAGCTATTTTTTGTGATAATCATGCTTAATAATTACAACATAAAACTTTTACAATAGTAAAAAAGAAAGAAATGATAAATGTTTAAAGATGTGAAAGTGTTAACCTGATTTGATTAGAACATACTGTATCTAAATATCACACTGTATCTTGTATATATGAAGAAATAAAAGAAATAATAAATGACATTCAATTTTAAAAGGAAAAGGAAAATAAACAGATAGATGAATAAATAAATATTTGTGTCTGATATGGAGGGGGGAAGTGGGTGTGTGCATGATGATTGCCACTGTCAGCTGACAAAGCATTTTCTGTCTTCCAAAGTAGATTATCCATGTAAATAAACGACTAATAAAGTTCTGCCCTCATGCTGCTCCCTCCCACTAGTGGGCAGGCAATCTTCCACAAAACAGGCCAGGTGGTGAGACTAGTCAGAGATCCCGAAGCCACTGCACCATGAGCGTCTCTGCCTTCAGCCCCACCAGATTCCCAGGCAGCATCTCTGGACTCCTCCAAGTGGTCTCCCTGCTCAGCCTGCTTCTGCTGCTGTTCAAAGCAGCCCACTTCTACCTGTGCAGACAATGGCTGCTCAAAGCTTTCCAGCAGTTCCCGTGTGCACCCTCCCACTGGCTTTTAGGGCACAAGGTAAGAAAAAGCAAGAAGGAGAGAGCAGGGAAGCTGGCGCTTTCAGAGTCTAGCCAGCAATCCACATGACAAAACTACCATGTAGCAAGCATGTGATCTTCAAGAAGCACCCAGTGACCCTCTCAGGCTGTGCTTATCTCAGCCTCAGGGAGCTCACTCTACAAGAAGCTGGTCCGGCTGTGACTCAGCTCTATCATACACTCCTTTTTTTTTTTTTGAATATCTGTCACTTGACCTGGCAGCCTTGCACTTGGAGACACTGTGGTTGACCCTTCCTGAGTTCTGTCTCCTCCAAGCTGAGCACCCCTGGCTCTCTCAACTGTGTGCAACAAACCAGACCTTGTTTATTTTCTATTTTGAGATGGGGTCTTGCTTAGTCTCTGAGTTGCCCAGGCTGGGCTCAAACTTGCAAGTCCAGCCTTAGGATCCTAGAGTGCTAGAACCAGCCGGGATACCACCTACTCCAGTCACTTGATGCCAACCTCTGTGCTTGGGCCTGAGCTTGTCTGGAGATACTGATATGAGTGTGATAGAATCCCTGCTCTGAGGGGAGCACATGGTAAACATGAATCTCAGGAGGTGTGGGGCCACAGGCAAAGACTAACAGGGAGGGCGATGACATCAGGTGGAGGAACCAACTAACTAGATTTGCCTGAGACTGGGGGAATCTCCAAAATGGGTGATCATGGAGGCTAACATATTGAAAATTATGGACACACAGAGTGAGACAACAGCACAATTCTGCTGATGAAGGGGACTGACATTAGAGTCACTTATGAAACAGCCTTTTTATTTGCCAGCTCAGCCTCCACTCTCCCCATGCTATGAGCTCACTGGAGTTGGCACAGGTCTGTGGAGTCCCCCTCAACAAGTCTTCCAGGAAGGAGAGAAAGGAACAATGTACAAGCTGAAGAGAGACAGCAATTACTCCCTGCAATGCCACCCCGTGGCTTGATGAGGGACTGCAAGAAGAGGAGCTCAGCAAGAGATTGCGCACTGAATCCACTTAAGAAAAGAGAAATAAGGAGCTCAGAAAGACACCTGAGTTGCTGATTCCCATTGCTTCTCTCATGCACACAACTTCATTTCGTGGGGCACAGAATCTGACTTAGGGAAAGTCCTGGGAGACAGCAAATTCTGGTTGACAGCATAGATAGGTTATGCATCCAACTCCAAATTTCTAATTTTTGCTGAATGATCCACAACTATGTCCCTCTGGTAGTCCTACCCTTCACTTCACTGCAAGGACTAGAACTAAACAAAAGTACTTACTGATTTGTCTTTCCCTTGGTGACAGATCCTGCCAGAAGACGAGCTGCAGCAGACGCTGAAATGGGTAAAGGAATTCCCAAGTGCCTATCCTCGCTGGTTCTGGGGGAGTGAAGCTCACCTGATCATCTACGACCCTGAGTACATGAAAGTGATTCTGGGGAGATCAGGTGAGACTAAAGCCTCATTTTAGCAAGAGGAGCTCCTTCCTCTGTAGTATACACATCTGACCCATCAAATTTCAAAGCACTTTTGAAATGTTGACCCCAGCCTTCCACTATGACCCACAATTTTCAAAGCACAGAGTAACACTTCAGGCATCAACTCAAAATGCTACCCATCATTTACCCAAGCCACAATTCAGCACATGGCCAACAATTCTTATTCATTACTGAAGTTTTAAAAATAACAAACTGCATGGGAGAGGAGGAGCTGGGCGGATCCGGAGTCCCTGCAGAAGCCCGTTCCTTTGTCTGAAGGACTGAATACTTCTGCAAGCAGAGAGGCATCGCAGCTTCCTGAGGCACCTCAGCCTGTGGTGAGTGCCCAGCACAGTCTGCCCAAATCTCAGACTGTTCCGGACCCCCCAGGCTTCTGGGTGCAGAGAAGTGGAACAGTGGGTTAGAGGCCACTACAGCTGCCTCCCCATCCCCCCCCCCCAGCTACACTTGGAAGTCTGCTGAGCTCCTGACGGATGGGCGGGCCTACACTAACCCCCGAGCCCAGCCGCACCTAGCCATCTCCTGCAGAGGAGGAGCTGGGCGGATCCGGAGTCCCTGCAGAAGCCCGTTCCGTTGTCTGAAGGACTGAATACTTCTGCAAGCAGGGAGGCATCGCAGCTTCCTGAGGCACCTCAGCCTGTGGTGAGTGCCCAGCACAGTCTGCCCAAATCTCAGACTGTTCCGGACCCCCCAGGCTTCTGGGTGCAGTGAAGTGGAGCAGTGGGTTAGAGGCCACTACAGCTGCCTCCCCATCCCCCCCCTCCCCCGGCTACACTTGGAAGTCTGCTGAGCTCCTGACGGATGGGCGGGCCTACACTAACCCCCAAGCCCAGCCTCGCCTAGCCATCTGCCTGCAGAGGAGGAGCTTGGCGGATCTGGAGTGCCTGCAGAATTCCCTTCCTTTGCCTAGAGGACTGTGGATATCTCTGCAACCAGGGAGGGATCACAGGCTCCTGAGGCACTGTGGCCTGTGGAGAGCACCCTAACCCAGCTGCAATTGAAGAGCTGTGGATCTTCCAAGGGGCAGGTGGGCGCACAGTGTCCCTGAGGCCCAGCTTGTCTGGAACTGCGGAGTTCTGAGCAGGCAGAGGAGGGACACTGGTTCTGCAGGCCCAATGGCTTGGGGTAGTGCGGTGTCAGAGGCTCAGTAGCTCCAAGCATAGAAGGGGATTTTCAACAGATCCTGAGGAAGCTTTCAAATAACACTTGAAACACAGAAATATACAAAATGACAAAACGAAAGACCAAATTACAACCTCAAACCTCCAGCCCATCTCAGGAAACCCTAGGAGCAATGTATATAGAAGAAAATATATCCCATCCACCTCATATATCGGACATAATAGCCACTAAAGTTGACAAACAACTCCAGGAAGCTTTAAAGAAATTCAAACTCGAAATAATCTCCCAGATAAAAGAAGAAATGATAAAAGAAATGAAAGAGATTCTAAATATATCTAAAGAAAACACAGATAAAAAATTGGAGGAACTAAACAAAAAGATAGAATCCCTAGACGAGCAATATAAGAAACAAACAGAATACATAATGCAGATGCACAGAGATATACAGGAAATAAAAAACTCCACTGAAAGTTGTAAAAACCGCCTTAATGAAAGTGAAGATAGAATTTCAGACCTTGAAGACAGGATTGCAGCTAGTGAACAGGAAAGGAAAGATCTTTTGAAAATAACAAGGAATCAGGAAACAACAATTCAACAACTGCAAGACGATGCAAAGAAGAATAACATAAGAATGATAGGGATTAATGAAAGGGAGGGAGACAACATAAAGGATGTCAAGCGGATATTTAGAGAAGTAATAGCTGAAAATTTCCCAAGCATGAGATCAGAAACTGACATCAAGATCAGTGAAGCATATAGAACTCCAAACACTCATAACCAAAATAAAACTACACCCAGACATATAATAATCACCATCCCAGAAATCCAACACAAAAATAGATTACTAAAAGCTGTCAGAGAGAAAAGACAGATCACTTATAAAGGAAAACCTATCAGAATCACAGCAGACTTCTCAGCACAAACGATAAAGTCAAGAAGAGCATGGAGTGAAATATTCCAGATCCTAAAGCAAAATGATTTCCAACCAAGACTGATATATCCTGCAAAACTATCATTCAAAATAGATGGTGCAATACGATACTTCCATGACAAAGAACACCTGAAGAACTTCATGAACACCAAACCGACCCTGCAAAAAATATTGAAAGACAGTTTAGATACACAAAGGAAAAAACCACTAAGCAAAGCAAATAATTAAACAGAACAGAAGGATAAAGATGCAACAGCAGAGAGATAACATTCCTACAATTAACCAGCATTTAACAGTAATAACCATTAATGTAAATGGTCTCAATGCACCAATCAAAAGAAACAGACTAGCAGAATGGATCAAGAAACAAAATCCAACCATATGCTGTTTACAGGAAACCCATCTAACCCAGAAGCATACTCACAGACTGAAAGTCAAAGGATGGAAAACAATTCTTCATGCAGCAGGAATCCAGAAAAAGGCAGGAGTAGCCATTCTGTTTGCAGACAACGTGAACTTTAAGCCAACAATGACCATAAAGGACAAACAAGGTCACTACATACTTGTAAGGGGAAAACTCCAAGAGGAAGAGATAACTATCTTAAATATATACGCACCAAACTCCAGAGCACCAAGTTATATAAAACAATTATTAACAGAAATGAAAACTCAAATTATCAGTAACACAATTGTAACAGGAGACCTTAATACGCCATTGACACCAAGGGACAGATCAACCAGACAGAAAATGAGCAAAGAAATAACAGAACTGAATCATACCTGTGAACAAATGGGTTTGATAGACATATACAGGATGTTCCACCCAACAACATCAGAATACACATTCTTCTCAGCAGTACATGGATCATTTTCTAAAATAGACCATATATTAGCTCACAGAACATATTTAAACAAGTGCAAAAGAGCTGAAATCATCCCTTGCATGTTATCGGATCATAGCGCTCTGAAATTAGAAATTAATGATAAAAGATACTGCAAAAATCCCACAAACACATGGAAACTGAATAACACACTCTTGAGTAATCAGTGGGTCACAGAGGAAATTAAAGAAGAAATCAAACAATACCTAAAAGAAAATGAAAATACAGATACAACTTACCGGAACCTGTGGGATGCAATGAAAGCCGTCCTGAGAGGAAAATTTATTGCACTGAGTTCCCACATCAGGAAAACAGAACGAATACAAATAAATAATTTGATGCTACACCTCAAACAGCTAGAAAAAGAAGAGCAAGTCAAGCCCAAAGCCAAAAGAAGAGAGGAAATTATAAAAATCAGAGCAGAAATCAATGCAATAGAGACTAAGAAAACAATCCAAAGAATCAACAAATCAAAGAGTTGGTTCTTTGAAAGAATAAATAAAATCGATAAGCCCCTAGCCAACCTTATTAAAAAAAGGGAAGAAAAAGCTCAAATTCATGCAATAAGAAATGAAAAAGGAGAAATCACTACAGACCCAATAGAAATACAGAAGATCATCAACACCTACTTCGAAAACCTCTACTCTCAAAAGTTTGATAACACAGAAGAAATAGACAGATTCTTAGAAGCATATGAAGTGCCAAAGCTACATCAAGAGGATGTAAAACTGTTGAATAACCCAATCTCTGTTACTGAAATTGAAAATGTAATTAAGTCCTTACCCACCAAGAAGAGCCCAGGCCCAGATGGATTCACTGCAGAATTCTACAAGAAATACAAAGAAGACCTAATGCCGACACTCCTCAAACTGTTCAATGAAATTGAAAGGGAAGCAATCCTTCCTAAGTCATTCCTGGAAGCAAATATTACTCTAGTACCAAAACCTGAGAAAGACCCAACTAAAAAAGAGAACTATCGACGGATCTCCCTAATGAACACAGATGCAAAAATCCTCAATAAAATATTGGCAAATAGGATCCAGCAAATCATCAAGAAGATTATACACCATGACCAAGTGGGATTCATCCCAGGAATGCAAGGATGGTTCAACATACGCAAATCAATAAATGTAATCCACCATATCAATAAAGCCAAAACTAAGAATCACATGATCATTTCTATAGATGCAGAAAAAGCCTTCGATAAGGTCCAACATTTATTCATGATAAAAACTCTACAGAAAATTGGAATAGATGGTCTTTACCTCAATATAATAAAGGCCATTTATGACAAACCAACAGCCAGCATCATACTAAATGGCCAAAAATTGAAAGCCTTTACTTTAAAATCAGGCACAAGACAAGGATGTCCTTTATCACCACTCCTATTTAATATAGTACTGGAAGTACTAGCCAGAGCAATTAGGCAAGAAAGAGAAATAAAAGGGGTAAAGATAGGAAAAGAAGAAGTTAAGTTATCATTGTTTGCAGATGACATGATACTCTACATAGAAGACCCCCTAAACTCCATTGAAATACTCTTAGATACAATAAATAAATTCAGTAATGTGGCTGGATACAAAATCAATACTCAGAAATCAATAGCATTCCTATACACGAACAACAAAATTACAGAGAGGGAAATAAGAGAAACTGGACTATTCACATTAGCAAGCAAAAAAATGAAATATTTAGGAATTACTCTTACGAAAGAAGTGAAAGACTTATACAGTGAAAACTATAATACACTGAAAAAGGAAATTGAAGATGATCTCAGAAAATGGAAAGACATCCCTTGCTCATGGATAGGAAGAACAAACATTGTGAAGATGGCCATTCTCCCAAAACTCTTATACAGATTCAATGCAATCCCAATAGAAATACCATCAACATACCTTATAGATCTAGAGAAATCACTCCTAAATTTCATCTGGAACCAGAAGAGACCTAGAATCGCAAAGGCAATTCTAAGCAGCAAAGGCAAAGCAGGAGGCATCACAATCCCTGACTTGAAATTATACTACAAAGCAACAGTAGTAAAATCAACATGGTATTGGAATCAAAACAGAGACGAAGATCAATGGAATAGATTAGAAGATACAACCACAACTACAAACACACTCAACCACCTTATCTTTGATAAAGGAGCCAAGCAGGTTCACTGGAAGAACGACAGTCTCTTTAATAAATGGTGCTGGAAAAACTGGCTCTCCATTTGCCGAAAACTAAAGCTAGACCCATGTCTATCACCATGAACTAAATTAAAATCTAAATGGGTCAAAGATCTGAATATTAAAACAGAAACACTAAATCTATTGGAAGACAAAATAGGTAGAAACCTTGGAGACATAGGAGTAGGTAAAGAATTCATGAACAGGACTCAAACCGCACGGGAAATACTTCCCAGAATCAATAACTGGGACCACTTCTTATTAAAAAGTTTCTGCATGTCAAAAGAAATCTCCAGCATAGTGAAAAGAAAACCCACAAACTGGGAAAAGATTTTAGTGAACTCTCTCTCAGACAAGGGCCTCTTGTCTAAAACATATAAAGAATTAAAAAACTCAGACCTCCAAAATTCAAAGATCCAATCCAAAAATGGGCATCTGAGATGAATACGCAATTCTCAGATGAAGAAATGCAAATGGCAAATAAATACATGAAAAAATGCTCATCATCATTGGTCATCAGAGAAATGCAAATTAAAACCACACTGAGATACCATCTCACTCCTGAAAGAATGGCCAGGATCAAGAAAACCAACAACAACAAATGCTGGAGAGGATGTGGGGAAAAAGGAACTCTCCTGCACTGTTGGTGGGAGTGTAGACTGGTACAGCCTTTGTGGAGGTCTGTCTGGAGGTTTCTCAAAAAGTTGGGATTGGAAATCCCATTTATTCCAGCTATTCCACTTCTAGGCATATTCCCAGAAGAACTGAAAGCATCATACCACAGTGATTTATGTGCACCTATGTTTATAGCAGCACAATTTGTAATCGCCAGATCTTGGAAACAACCCAAGTGTCCATCAACTGAGGAATGGATAAAAAAGTTGTGGTATTTCTATACAATGGAATATTATTCAGCTATAAAGAAGGATCACATTGAGATATTTATCAATAAATGGGTGCAGCTTGAGACCATACTCATAAGTGAAATAAATCAATCTCGCATGTATGAATACCGAATAGTTTCCCTAATGTAAGTAATGATTCAAATATATGAAAATATGTGGCAATCATGATTCCCCATTATGTGGCCTTGAAGCCTTATAAAATTTTCACTTATTAATTAGAAAGGCTTTATTCCGGGCTTCTTGATATGGAAATATTTGAAGCTATAGTATATGAAGTTTTATCCAAATATCTCAAGGAAAAAGACAGACACTATGGTAACTATTATTCTTTAAAAAAATTATTTAGTTATTTCTTATGTTTATTTTAATTAAGGGAAAAATTTAAAAAATTAGGATATATAATAGTAACTCTTTTCGATTTCCTATTAACTTGTTTTGAAGTCCTGTAATGCTCCCACGATCTTGTTTTGACTGATTAGACTCTGTTCCATTCTGTGGGATAGTATCAGGTCTGAGGGTATAGGCAACTACTTTGAAGGCAGTAAGATTCACTAAGATGCCCATTCTGGTTTGACTATTGTCTCCTTTGGAAGTCCTGTAATGTTTACAATGTCTAAGTTTTATTGGTCTTGTTCTCTACTGTTTTGTCCAACTTTATAATATCTAATGAGATAGACAAATCTTTTTAAGGAAACAAGAGACAACGTTGATAACTATTGTTAATAACCGTATACTCTGTTCTACATCATGTGCTAAGTCCAACCTTGGTTTTCACTAACAGCTTTGTTCTGCCATATTTGACTTTATTCTCCCCCCCCAAAAAAGTAATAAGAACTAAGGAGTAATAAAATCTAAAATGTGTAAATTTTGTTGTGAAAAGAGAGGAAGGGGAAAAAAGAGCTCTAACGGATATAACAGCAACTGTGTATAGGGATGTTGAATAGCTGACTATATTAATGTTTTTGGATCATTGAACACAGCTGTTTGTAGTCTCTCTGTTTGAATGTCTACTTTGTATTCTTTGATACTGTGATTTGAGCAACTATTTCCAAGATGATAATATGTAATCTATTAACAGGTGATTTCTTACTGTTATGCTTTTTTTTGTAGTTCTGTATTATATGTAACCTTACACCGCTTTGTTTTGTTTTGTGTTTTTCTCTTTTTCCTCTTAAATAAAAAAAAAACTGCATGGGGCCAATTTTCTGTTTTCTTTCTTTTTAAACTTTCTTTCTTTAAATCAAAGTAAGGAATGCGTTGTATAAAGTGATCTAAATCTGAAAAGCAAACTATGTACACCAATTTGGGTTCAAAACCACTAATTGTCACCTGTTTGATGTCATGAAATGACTGAGCCAGGACCCACACTAGCAAAGCAATAAGCTCTGTTTTATTCCTTGGCATTGAGGCTGTAGCCATTGTTTCTCCCCAGTTCCTCATCACAGTCCTGGGAGTGGTCAGCTTCTAGTACAAGGAGCCTACCTTCCTGAGACAAACTGACTGTCAGGTTTAAGGGATTAGAAGCAACAGCAGGTGCCATAACATCAGCTGCCACCTGGCAGTCATCAAGAATTTTAACGTGCCATAGTTTGAACAACAGTTTCCTTAGGGCCACATTATTTGGCCTTCAGTTTCCTTTAATGCCCTTGCTTACCTTTCAGATCCAAAGGCCATTTCTTTCTACAGATTCCTGGCACCCTGGATTGGTATGTATGTTTAAATTGAGAGCACAATTATTGTCCAATAAAGTTTCCCTAGTGCTACTTCTCTGGTTTACAGAGAACAAGTACCTAGTCAAGACTGTCATGAACCATCCCTAAATCGACCCTCATTTTTCTTCTCATTAGACACTTATCCCTTCCTACTGCTGAAATGAGCCCTCCTGAAGATCAGCTCCTGCCCTATCTCTTCAAGCATTCCTACCTGGCATTTTTTATGCCCCTCCTTGACCTAACACCAACACTTTTTAAAAATCTTTATCTAAGAAGAGTTGTCATAATCACAGCAGATGGACCATCCCAATTGGAAAAGTCTATGTTCATGAATATACGTGACCTTCCTGCCTTTGTCCAAGAAATTCTACCCTCAAGGGTTGTCTTCCCCAGTTCCACATTAGAGTTCCTCCCAAATTATCCCAGGGATCTGATTCTGTCACATACATACATACCACACACACACACACACACACACACACACACACACACACACAGATTACATACACCTATCTCTGGTGCAGGGTATGGTTTGCTCCTGTTGAACGGACCAACATGGTTCCAGCACAGGCGAATGTTGACCCCAGCCTTCCACTATGACATCCTGAAGCCCTATGTGGAAATCATGGCCAACTCTGTTCGAGTGATGCTGGTGAGTCTGTCTTTCACGAATGTACACTCACAGCAAACACTCAGATGCTGGTCTTCAACACATGTGACCTCAGACAGTCATATGGAATAACATACTTTAAGTTAACCCTGTGACAGTACACAGGACACAGAGGATCCAAGCATCAGGGTCAAGCCACATTGTGCTCATCACCCATGACAGAGTGTCATGGTGGATACAGGACCCACCTTGCACTTTCAGGTCTTTAGCACAGTGGATTAGTGGAGGAGTCAGGCCTGCTCAACACCAGGACTGCTTGTCCCCGGCTGGCCTGAGGAACAGCAGCAGCTGCAGTGGCTCAGGGAATCTCACAGCATATCATTTAATTGCCTCAGGCACACATTTTCTTCGTGGGTTTTGAGTAATACATGCAGTAAAATGGACAATAGGAGCACATTCTTACAGCCAACCTGCCATCCCATCATGTTTCAACAAGACTGGTTCTGATCCAGCTGGTCTCAGCAAACGTTTTAATGAGTAAACAAGAATTAGAGGCTAGGGATTTAGCTCAGCGGCATAAGCACCTGCCTTGCAAGCAGGCAGTCGTGAGTTTGATCCCTGGTACCGATAAAAACAAAAAAGACAAAAAAAATGACTAAACAAGAATCAAAGTCTCTTATGGCCCTCATTAGAAGAGCCCACAGTAAAAGCTTAGGTTTTCTTTTAGTTGACACATTTGCCTTCTAAAATTGGAGTCCCACTATTCCCTCAGATCAAGCCCAATTCTCAGAATATTGAAGAATCATCTTCCCTTTTATCCCCTGAAAAATCTATTTTGTTGGTTGAAAAAAAAAAAGAAATGAAAAACATAGCTGGTTGCCAAAACTTTCAAATTTATTTCAGGTCTTACAGAATGCTATGCTTAATTCTTAAATAAGTCGAGAGAATCTGGAATATGGGGCGGTGGGGGAATTCTAGTCTATTTAACTGAAGAATTCTGGAGAAAGTAAGAAGGTAAATGTTATCCTCCCACCATAGGACAAATGGGAAAAGCTCATCAGTCAAGATGCCTCTATGGAGATCTTTCAACCTGTTTCCTTGATGACACTCGACTCGATCATGAAGTGTGCCTTCAGCTACCAGGGCAGTGTCCAGCTGGACCGGTCAGTGACAGCCTTTCAGCTGAGAAGTCCTTATTCTTGCTACTGATATAGACTCATTTGAGAAGCAAGTGGCGCAGCCCACCTAGTGCATCCAGCCATATTTGGTTTGCACTATTTCTGCTACAAAACAAGATTCTGTTTTAAGCCCCAAACCACCTGTAATTCCAGTCTAGATCCAAACCTGCCTCAGCCATACACCCCTGATTCCTAGCAAGATTGAAAACCCAGCTGCTCACCATTTTCTAAAGGCCAGAGAGTCACAAAGACTATAAGATAGAAGTAACACATGACTCAGTGTTTTGTGCCCCCACCTTTGAGGGAATAGCCCCTCTACCTCCAGGTCAGATCTCCTTTCAGTTCAATCTGTTCTGTATCTTCTCCCTCAGGAAATCCCGGCCCTACCTCCAAGCCATTGAGGAGATGAACAACATGTTTTTTTCCCGTGTAAGGAATATGTTTCACCAGAATGACACCATCTACAGTTTGTCGTCAAATGGCCAACGCTGCAAACGTGCCACTCAGATTGCCCATCACCACACAGGTACTTTCTCCCCCTCCTGTGTCCCATCTTTACCAGACTTAACCCAGTAGAAATGGCGTCAGCCCTTCAGATAGAACCAAGCCCTCTGGTGCCCTTGCAAAACCTGAGGCTCATGCTGGTCTTCCCTAGTGCAAGGGAGCTGAGATGTGAAGGTGTTAGGTAAGGTGCTCTCACATTGGTGATTCTGAGCAACACTGAAGAGCTGTACTCCTGGGGAAAACTTGACCTGTATCAAATAGTGCTGAATTCCCACTCCTGACCCACACACTGCACTCTCATCCTGAGCTCCACAACACTTCCATATTGGGTCCGGGGAGGGAGATACAGGTTGGGTTGCTGTAGGTTTCTGTAGTTCTTGGTTCTACCTAGGAACTTTTGTTCTGGGATAGACCAAATAATAAAGCAGAGGAAGGCTCAGCTGAAGGATGACAAAGAGTTGGAGAACATCAGAAAAAAGAGACACTTGGATTTCCTGGACATCCTCCTGTTTGCCAAAGTAAGACTGTGTGGGAGAGCCTAAGGCTTTGATCAAACTCACAGAGCAGGGACAAACCCTCTTTGGTTGTTTGTGTTCCACCTCAGACAGAAAATGGGAGCAGCTTATCAGACGAGGACCTGCGTGCTGAGGTGGACACCTTCATGTTTGAGGGCCATGACACCACAGCCAGTGGTATCTGCTGGACCTTGTATGCTCTTGCTACACACCCCAGCCATCAACAGAGGTGCAGGGAAGAGGTCCAGAACCTCCTGGGAGATAAAGGCTCCATTACTTGGTGAGTAAGAGCTGAAGAGGTGGGAGAGCACAGCCTCTTTTGCCAGGGGAGACCTCAGTCTTTCCAGACTCTTTCTGCCCTTCAGGATGGGCTTCATTTCAGGGAACACCTTGACCAGATGTCCTATATCACCATGTGCATCAAGGAGGCCCTGAGGCTCTATCCACCAGTTCCATTTGTTGGCAGAGAGCTCAGCAAACCTGTTACCTTCCCTGATGGAAAATCTTTACCCAAAGGTATAACCTTTCCAGGATCACCTAAGTTCTCCTCAAGGATAGGGAAGAATTAGGAAATTCATGTGTGGTTCAGCAGTTCTGAATCTGGCTGGGTCTTTCTTTATTGTCAATAAATGAATGCTTCTTACTTATAGAGTACATTTTTCTTATGTAGAACATAAGCCTACATGAACTATACAGCTCCTTCTAATACTGTCTATTCACATGGTTACCACCCTACACTACTCCTGTTCTTCAGCTGACATTCGTTCTTCTTTAGAATGCACAGTCTTGCAATGTTGCAGTTAATTGCAGTTTGGTGATAGTGACATTCTTTGATTCTAACACTCTAGGCTCCAATTCTAGATGACATGTATGACCATATTTGTCCCTTTGATTGCCAGGAATCTCAAAGGGTAGATTTTTCTCACATCTTTTTTACATCTTCTATATTTGATATAATATATTGCATAATTGAGTAAAAAACTATATGTATTAATAAATGTAATGCGATTTATCCTGTGGGAATTTCCCCACAGAGAAATATTAACTTTTAGATTTTGGCCTCTAAAATTCTAACACCCTAAAATGTAGAGGATGATGAGAGAAACAGATAGGGGCTAAGGAGACGTGGTTCTTATGCGGAGTCAAGACAAATGAGCAGTGAATTCTATGCCATTGGTCAGCTATGGTCCAGTCCTTGAGGAGCACTCATGTTGAAGGCAGAAAGCAGCTGATAGCCAGATCTAAGAACCCTGCTATGGTAGCAAACGACTTGTTGGTTCACCCTCCACTAAACGTGAGTCCCAGTCCTGCCACATCCTACCTGCGCAATAGCTGACAATTCCTCTCTGAAATGTAGTTACCTCATCTGAAAAATGGGGCTATATCAGTGCTTTCTCTGGAGGGTTGTTATGAGGACTAAATGAATTAATGTATGCTCCTCAGTGAAAATCCTTTATCAACAAAAGTTCTCATTTGATTTATAACAAAAAGGAAAGTCCAATTCTTTCTTGCATCTCTCTTAAAGTCATAGTTTTCTGTTCTTCACCTGTGTTCAGGTAGTTTATTTACCAAGTCCACCCATATCTTTAGCAACAAGATCACTTTGCTCAAAATGATGATTTGTGGCATTCGGACCTTTTGTGCATGTCTATCTCCTACTGGCAGAGGGACCAGGAACTAACATCATGTGCATAATCAGTCTTTTCTCTGTCTTCCTCTGTCCCCCAGGTATTAACGTCATACTCTCTTTTCATGGCCTTCACCATAACCCGAAGGTGTGGCCAAATCCTGAGGTATGATGTCCCTGAGAGGAAAAGAGGGAAGGGAAGGAGGTGATTCCTCAGGAACCCCTCCTCCTTCTCTTTCCTCTGGGCTTCCTGTCCCCTCTTGGTTTGGAACAAGGGACTTGGCCCCTACCTGTGCAGACACTGGTTCTCTTTCTGCAGATATTTGACCCTTCCCGATTTGCACCTGATTCTTCCAGACACAGCCACTCATTCCTGCCCTTCTCAGGAGGACCAAGGTGAGGTGTCCTGTGTTGGTAATTTGGTAATAGGGAATGAGGCTACTTTCCTGTAGCAAACCCTGCTACCTCCTATGCTCACATAGGGCCTCTTCTAATATACCCTTCTTTGTTGGTGTTATGGAAAGAAGCCTTGTGCGGATACATCTCTGCACATAAGAAATAGAACATTTCGGGGCACACCACAGAGACCTTGGCCCAATGGCCAGGTCAAATCCCAGTGTCAGTAGACATTACACATTCCAGTGTGTCCTGCTGCTTTCCTCAATTTAGAAGTATGATGTTAGGAATTAGAAATGTTTGTGTATGTCTGACTTCAGATGACGTGCTTTTTGACTGCCAGGAATCTCCAAGGGTAGATTTTTCTCACACATTTGCAATCCAGCCACCACTCTTTCTATTGATTCATTTTTTCTCAAGTCACTGCAGCAAGTGATTAGTTTGCCTGGATTCACTTTCTGGGTGCCTGCTATCTGCCACCTCTTTAGTCATATTTTGAAAATTTACAGTAAGCCATCAAAGAAAGTTTCACAGCACATTTTCAGTCTCTCCCAAAGTAATTTTTGACTGCGTTTCAATGTTCACATTCTTCTTACTTTTCCAGTTGTCAAAATGGGATAGATGAAGTCCAGTGTAAATACTTTGAAATTACACTTAGATCCAACATAGTTCCACTTTGGATTTTTTAAAAAAAAGCATTAAAATGAGAACAGTAAACTTCCTTTGAGAGAAATCTACTATTTTGTATATACTGCATGTCACTGGACAGGTTCCTGGTGTGTAAAATATAAAACACAATTGAAGTAGCTGCTGAGCTGGACAAGAACACCTCAAAAGGGCTTCTTTGACCCTCAAAGCCCATGAGACTTGCCCAGTAGGATGTAACTTACTATAATGTTTATAAAGAAGTGGTAGAAACAGGTTTTTCTCAGTCAGTATTTTTATGAATTCTTCAAATTCAAAATAAAACAACTTTCCTAGAACCAGCTTCAAGGAACTTGCCTTTGCAAAAATAGACTTTCTAGAATTTGATTTTTGTTCTAAGACAGTACCTCCTTGTACACTGACTATAAGTCATATTGCTGCCACTAGAGGACAGGAGAATATGAGGTAGCTCAATTTTTAGGTAAATTTCTTATATTATTTTAAAATCAATTAAATTGAATTTCTTAACTCTTGTGAAGTTAATTAACTTAACTCAACTATAAAGGAAGGCCTTACATCAGCCTCTATGTGCCAAGTCCTATACTGGGTTATAAAATTAAAGATATCATTCCTCTCTCCAAGTGTTCAGTCAAGGGCAAATATGTGCTCTACAGAAAGAAGTAGCCATGCTTAAGGAAGACATCCTTCCTTCCTTTATTCTTTCACTCTCAGTGGGATGGTCCACATTCCCAGCACTGTCTCAGTCTCTGGGTTGAGTAAAGTACCAGTGGTATCACTGCGACCCCAGGAAGGAAAGGGACAGCGGAGCAGGGATGAGGACCAGCTGGTCATTTGTCTGGGCCTTAAGGATGTACAGGCAGAGATGGAAGAAGAACATGTTTGTGATGTGAGCTAGAACATGGGATCACATAGGTAGGAGGTGAGAGAGACAGCAGACATAGAAGATGTGGATGCACCATCCTGCTTAAGGAAAGACATGGAAGTATCAGTGTGGAAGAAGGGAAAGCACAGACACAAGAGAAATCTGGGACAAAAACACTGAAGAAACAAGCAGGGACATTTCTGAGATGAATTTAGAAGGATACAGATTGGTGGCCTGGGGTGGGAGAGGGAAGTAGGTGCCTGACCACTGAGTGGGATCCCCAACCTGACCCCCCTTTGGTTCCTTATTAACACTTGGCTCCTGTCAGTGAACTTTCTTGAATCTCTAAATGCAATGAACTAACCAACAGTTAACGCTTTAAATGACTCAAGAGATCAGACTGCCCCTCTGGCTCTGTCCTAAGAGAGTGATTCCATGCCTGTGAGAGCAACAGTGGGCCAGGGGTAGCCATGCACAACTAGAAGACTTTGTCAAAGTTCAAGAGAGAGTGACCCAAGACCTAGGGCAGAGCTTTGCGTGAGTCAAACCGGGCATATAAATAGCCTGAATGCCCAGCTCTGGGCTGGGACTCAGGCACTAGTTCCTGACCAGCTCAGCATAGCTTCTGAGGCTATATCTTGTTTCACTGTTCCTGTCTGGCCTAGGAACTGCATTGGGAAACAATTTGCCATGAATGAACTGAAGGTGGCTGTGGCCCTGACCCTGCTCCGTTTTGAGCTACTGCCAGACCCCACCAGGGTCCCCATCCCCATACCACAACTTGTGTTGAAGTCCAAAAATGGGATCCAATTGTATCTCAGGAAGCTCCACTAACCTTGGTGAGTCAACAACAGGTTCTGAGGGTCTGCTGCCTACCATCCTGTCGTCAGGTCCCCAGCCCGTCTCTCATCTCCTGCTTTCTATCTTCTCATCTTCCTGCTGTCCTGCCTCCTTCCTATGTGTCCTTCTTTTTTTTCAAACTCCCTATTTGCTTGTCTGCTACCTGTCTCCTTTCTGTTGCATCTCTGTTTATCTAGGCCCTGATCACCTGCCTATCCTTCAGCCTACCTACCTCTCTACCTGTTCTTTCCTTTTCTGCCTGCTGATTTTAATCTGTATGAGTTCCTGCTGATGTTATAATCAACTATCACAACCTTTGTGATTTGAAGTAATGAAAATCTACTCTCTCATAGTTCTGGAGATCAGAAGTCAAAAATAGGTACCACTGGAGCTAAAGATTTAGCTCAGTGGCATACGTGCTTGCCTTGCAAGGGTGTAGTCATGAGTTCGAACCCCTGTACTGATTTAAAAAAAAAAAGGTATTACTAGGAGAAGATCTAGTTGTTAGTGTAGCCATCTTCTGCAGAGTTTTGGAGAAAATAATTTTAATTGTCCTTCCACTTTACAGATTCATTTCTTGTATTCCTTGGAACTAGCTCCTCTTTCTTTAAAGAATAATTTACCCATCTCAAAGTTTTTTACTTAATCAACCTTTCAACTTTCAGAGTTCTGTTTGCCATATGAGATAACATAATCCTGAGCTTCAAAGCTGAGGCATTGGACATCCTGGGAAAACATTATGCAGTCTGCCACTGTCCCTCCTGAACTGTCACCGGATTTCGCCTGCAAGGCGTCTATCTGCCTGTATTTCTCTCACTCGAGCTTCTCTATCTCCTTCTTCCTTGCAGTAAAGTTCCTAATGTCACATGGAGTGTCTTGGCCTCTTGTAAGACTATGGCAGGAAAAAAGAGATCGAAGGAAAGGAGACAAGTCCCTTCTGAGGAAGAAGAAAATGACATGTGGCCTGTGGTGCCAGAACTTCTTCTTGGCCTTATGGAGCCCACCCTCTTTGAGTGGCCTCACACATGTGACTCCTCATGCCCCATACCAATCCAGCTGCTGAGGCTCCAGTAGCTGAGTTTAGACAAAGGGCTTTTCTCTGGGATCTCAGAGAAGCTCACATCTGTCATGGAAGGAGACAAAAGCCTCTATTATATTCAAGGACTACGTTACTTGCCCTAGACTTTTCAGAAGCTCCAGCTAAAGCTCATCTTGAGCTGAGCAGGAAAGCCTTCCAACCTGATCTGGCATGAGAGCCTCAAGACCTTGCTATTCACAGATCCAATGAGATGTGAGAAGAGAACCCGGCCTGGCCGTGTCACCAAGTCACCTGTCAGCCTCCTTCACATATAGGACCTTAATACTCCTCAGGAGGCTCAGAGAATGGACAACTGTCAGTCAAGAGCTGGCAAGAGTCTCCTCATCTGACCGGAGGGGATGTCAGAACCCAAGCAGCTCCTCCTGCCCCATGAAGTCTCCCTGGCTGGCTACCCTGAAGGATGAGGGGCATCAACAACTCTGCCCACAGATGGAGGCTTCCTGGTTCCTGGTACTTCTGACCCTGGTCCTGCTCCCTACTTTCATCCCTCTAGGTACTACCACCAGATTCCCTGGTCTTCTGTTCTTGCTTCTGTGAGTCTCCATTAAATAAGCCTCTGCTTGTTTTGCTGGTTCTGAGCACAGATTCCCCAGTTGCCTCAATAGCTGTAGATGCTATAGACAGAACTTCCTGCAGTCATCTGATGTCCCCAGCATGTTATGGTCCATATCTTCTCTCTAAGTTGAAACCTGCTGCCAAGACTTCTGTCCCGTCCTTCTGGCCTCCTAAGTCACTGGGCTCATTTGGTCTTGCTCTGAAGAGGGGCAGGAGAGACCAGACTGGATTCTAAACCAAGAGGAAAGGGAGAGTTGGGAAAAAGAGTTATCTGGGAATATCACAAACAGCATGTCCAGCAGCAGGCCCAGCATCAGGAGGTGCAAAAAGTGGTGCAGGGCATGTTCAGAGCACACAGGACAATAGAAGCTCAGAATTCTGGATGACCAGCCATGAACATGTGGTGCAACTACAGGATTCCACAGGATATGGAAGTGTGACTCAAAAGTGACCTTGCTGCCTCCAAGCAATAGGCAAGACCCAGGTTGAGTTCCATTCATATGCACAACCCCCTCAGACACATGAATAGACACATAAGCCACTCTTGTATACACCCTTTGCAGACACCACACTACCCACACACACATGCACACACATTCATTTCTAGGGTCACAGGAGCCAGCAGTGTGTGTGTTTGAAGATCTAGAGGGGTTAAAGAGAACTCATCTGTGGCACCTATCACTCACAGCCTCCATCCTCTCTCCTCCAGGGAGCCTCTCTACACTCTGATTCCAGAGCTTTCAGCTCTATTTTTCCATCAGCATCCATCCTCAGGAGACTGTCAGTACTAACCTTGGAATACAGTCAGTTCAAGCTCCTCCCAGATGAGTGTCTCACAGGCTCCTTCTGTTAATACTGAAATAGGATCACAGTCTACTCGCATCAGGGGATGTTGACCCTGCCCACACTTAATGACTGCATGGGTGCTGAAGGTCTGGAGAGACTTAGGAAATGGATACAGTTGTGCTCAGAGGCCATCCCGGAGTATAAGATGGTTATGACCTCAAGGCTTAACTCCCACCTAGGTCTATATCTTCTATAAGGTGATCACTGCTGGAGGCATAGCTCCCATTCCACAAAATTGTGATGATTGTGATGATCGTCTTCACTTGTACAGAGAGCAATCTATTGAGATACTGGAACACAGCAGGCTGTTGGTAGCATGAGGTGCAGAACAGACAGCCAAAAGTTATACCCTGGCTAGGTCCTCTGAATTATACTCAGTTGGGCAAGGAGATTTGGATCTTTAGCAGATAGTGTATGGCAGGTCAGCCTGAGTGAAACTTTCTTCTGAGAGTGAAAAAAGCAGTATCCTGAAGGATTTATCTGCCATGGTGCACCCTCAGAGCACCATCGAGACATCACCAAGTTCCAAAATTGGAATTCTTCTCTCCTGTCCCTAACCCCAATCCTGAGTCCTCTTCCTTCTATAACTGTGGTAATTCCTGGACTGCAGGCTCCTAGTGGCCTTACACCTTGAACCCCAGAAGTGCATGAGCTTACAACCATCATGCAGTTGCTGCAGGAGCTGCCAGAAAAGACCTCTAAGTCATCACGTAACCCCATGCTTGAGGCTTTCCTCAAAAATTCTTTGTACCTTCCTACCTCACTCATGACTCAACACCTGATTCAAGGAAGGTTTTCTTTCTCCAGGAAGTCCCCCTCTAATGACAACTCTGCCAAACTTCCCTGGCCTAACTGTGAATTCCCAGAGCATTACATGACTGAGACCTTAATGCTGAGAATGCAAGATGCCACAGAGAATCACTCAGCCAAGGAAGAAGCCCCACAAAACCATCCTGAATATTCTTTGACTTTGGCAATGGGAATTTGCTTTAGAATTACTCGTTATTTTGTATAGTTTTGATTTAGATAATTTTTCTTCATTTTAATTATATTATACATACACAATTAAACATAAAAACACATCTCCATGAGGGACAATTCCCTGAGCCACCCCACAATCACATGCTACCAGGTCATAATCATGAATCCACAGCAAAGCTTCTACTGTATTCACTATGTCACTAAGGCTGCAAAGCACATTTCTCCTACATTTTAGAAAGACTGTTAATTATAGGAGATAAATGACACTTCTTGAGATGAGTCTGTACTCCCCAACTAAGTGAATGAATGAGATCTTGAATATATAGGTAACAAGTATTTGCAGACACTCAACATTTGAGTGGCATTGTCCTCCTGGAGGTTGTCTGTGCCAGTGCCTACTCCCCTCCCAAACAATAAGATTCCTGAAAGCAGAAAGCTACAACTACTCTACATTCATCTGGGAGAGCGGTGCTCAGGGAGAAGGAAGAGCTTGGGCTGACTGGAGCTTTACTCTCTACAGAGTTACTTCCCAGACTCAGGGCGCAGTGACTTCAGGTGGAGGTAGATCCCATTCTTTGAACGCAGAATCAGCTGGGGCAGCTTGATGGGCAGCTGTGAAGGGTCCAGGGAGAACTCAAAGCGAAGCAAACAGAGAGCTGTGACCACCTTCATCTCATTCATGGCAAACTGTTGTCCGATGCAGTTCCTGCAGTGAGCAGTACAGAGAGGCCCTGGGCTGTGAGATATCCAGAGTGATGAACTTCAGTTCTCTTAGTGGCTAACAAAAAATCAGTAACTATTTTTGGATGTATAACTGCTTGATACACTGATTGACCTGGGCTTAAGAAAGAGATCTTGGGAACATAGCGAAAGCCTTAACAGAGTAGCTGCATGATGGGATTCTGGCTTGTGGTCTCTCTTGGAATGACTGCCATCCACCCACTTCCCAGGGAAAAGAATATAATAGCAAGAAGAATATCCCTGAAGCTTTCCATGCATTTAAAAAACTCAATACAGTCTCCTCATCACAGGATATCCCATAAGAATATCTCCCTAATGGCATCTCCCACCTTCTTTCTCAATTCTGGGGAACTGGGGATTTTGGACTCTCCCTACCTGGGCCCAGCAGAGAAGGGTATGAAGGCAAAAGGATGGCGTCCAGATGCATTCTCAGGAGAAAAACGCAGAGGATCGAAGACCTAAGGACACAGGCTTTGCTTAAACACCCACCAAGTCCTGGCATGTGAGAATTCCCATAGCACCCACCCTGTCTGATCTCAATGCACAAACAAGGTACCTCAGGGTCAGGCCACACTGCACTGTTCCTGTGGAGGGCATAGATGTGCAGAGAGATCAGGCTGCCTGTGGAAGAAAGACTTGGTGACCAAATGGGCCTGAAGCAGCTAGTCTTGCCTCCACATAGGACCTGAATGCCCTAGTGTCTACCTAGTGACTAGCCCTGCCTGACCATTGCCAGTAACCTCAAGTTCTTGGCAATACTGTTCTTCAAAGTATTTTTATTGTTACCCTGTCCAGTTCCTGTAGCACCAACATAGAACACAGCACCCGACACAGACATCTATGGCATGAAAAAAGAAAAGGAAATACGAGCCCACCCTACCATAAAGTAGGACAGGCAGAAACCACTATAACCTTTCTGCTGTCCATTAAGTAACTCTCAAGAAGCTATTATTCATAACATTATGCTATCAATAGTAGTCACTACCATTTCATTAGGTAATTGCTCCATGTCAGGTATACTTCTAAACACTCTGTATGAAGCTACTATATACAGTTTTACAAGTTGTATGCAGCCCTGCATTAACTTCAAATTATGCAAATCATGCCCTGAGGTTATCCAAGACACAACCTGAAAGTGCATGGTGCTATGGGGCAGCGTTGGTGAGCTGTGTCTCTTTCATCTTGACAACACCCTTGAAAGGGGGGTACTCTTCTTTTCCTCATTTTATAGATGAGAAAATGAAGATTTAGAGGCAGACAATTAACTTATGTGCTGTGGAGCTAGGATTTGTACCCAGGACTCTCCGAACACAAAGCCTAAGCTTGCCGAGTGTTAGGCAACGTTGCAGGAGGTGTCAAAGGAACATCCAGGAGCCCCTGAATCAACCCCCTAGCCCACCTCCTCCCACCTGCAGGTAGAGAGCGGCCATCCACAAAGTCAACAGGCTTGCTGAGCTGGCGGTACACCTGAGGCACAGGTGGGTAAAGGCGAAAGCACTCCTTGATACACATAGTCAGGTATGTCATCTTGCCCAGATCATCCCTGGCAGAAACACAAGACAGTTTGGAATGATGAGTAATGGGGTCCTGAGGAAAGATGAGACCCACCTCCAACTTCATACCTCACCATGTTGCCTTCCCCTCAGCACCAGCTTACATCCAGGAATTAGAGGGGCCCAAGGGCTACAAGAAGCTGAGCCAGATTAGACAGAAGGTAGCCACTCAGACACATTGATCTGGCTTTACACCCCTCTATCCCATCCCCATCTTCACTGCGAGGAAGGAAAGGGACAGGACCCTAGATGTATGTGCACCCAACTATGAAAGACAAGGTCACTTCTGTGTCTCTCACTGCCACATGGAAACCACCATTAGGGACTGTTGAGGTTCTATTTAGCTTTTCTCTGTGTGACACTGAAAAGGCTCCATTTACAGGGAATGAGGTAAAAGATATGTCCACATTCAGCACTCCAAAAGCTGAAGACCTGGAGGGAGCGGAATCCTCACCTTATTTCCAGGATGGTGCGGAGCTCCTTGGGTGGAGCAGGACAGGTCAGATACCTCTCAACCTCACTCACCACTTGAAGGAGTCCTGGTCCCCTAGGATCTCACGGGCCTCCTCCCTGCAACGCTGCTGGTGTTCCGGGTACAGAGCCATGCAGTAGAGAAACCAGGAGATGCCACTGGTAGTGGTGTCATGACCTTCGAACATGAATGTGTCCACTTCAGCCCTGAGGTCTGCATCAGACAGCTTGATGCCACTTTCATCCTGGGTTAAGATATAACAGGCTCAAGGCTTTGAGGTAGGTTCCAAGAAGTTGGAAGAATAGCTATCAAAAGCAGGTCTGACAAGGGCAGTGAAACCTGCTTAGCAGACTGAGAATAAAAGCCTTCTCCAGGGTCATATCTTTCTTCTAAGCCCACCTTGGATGCCTCCTATTCCATGATTCCCTCC